TCAAAGAAACGTGGCGTTTAAAAGTAGTCGCATGCAGCGCGCCTCATTTAAAATGATCTGGTTTTTGTACAGTGGTTGTGTATGCGGGTAGAAAAAGTAACTTAATAAAGTCAAAACAAGGTGACAGTTAAATTGATTAAAAGTTCAAGTGACTTCGCCCTAAAGCCTTGTTAATGACTTCAGCTTAGATGAATCCAGGTCATCCGCGTAAAAGTGTAGCCTGGGAGGTGGTACGGAATGTGGCCTTGGAGGCAACTGGACGAGGTTATGGAGGCGAAGCATTCAAAAGTATCACCGACGTGAAAAACAACCCCCAGCAGAAGCCAAAATCTGACATGACCAGACTAATTACCTCAATGTAAACACTTGTAACAGTCAAGCTGGTAATTAAATCTGGCACACAACTGTTACCTCACCATGCTCCCCACTGACTCCGTGTTTGCGCCCCTCGCGTTGTGGCATAACCTCGACTAAGGGGCCTTGTGTACGTCTGCGTACGCTAATTAGCAGGAGGGTGGCCGCGGATGGGCGTGTGTGTTCCATTGCAGATCTCGGCCAATGCCTTCGAGCCAAGTCACCCAATCTGATGAACTGACTTTGAATTGCTGCAGAAGACAGTCCGCTCCATCGATTGTGTCCTGCATTGCCTGCTGAATTACACAATGAATTTTAGCGATAAAGTATAGGGGAGTGTATTTATTCATGATAATTATCATCTTCCCATAAACGACTTTATTCAATTATATGAGGTTGTGTATCCTTGGAAGTGCGCCTGGTTCGTTTTAATTCAAGAACTTCAACTTTTAGTCCTGACTAGATTTCATGACCAGGATCTCAATTAGGATCATGCATCTCTCATGTCACCTGGGATGGTGTCGCATATGAAGCATTTAAACTTCGTAAGACATCAAATTTATGTGGGACGGATGCGTTCACAACTCGACACCTGCATGTCCCTAGTCTTTGCTTCAGTTTCTACCTTCCAGTAAAGTCTGGTGGTTAAAAAATCACAGTTTAAGGACCAGAAGAATATCTATCCAAAAATGTTTCATAATCTATGTCCCTATTTTCCTTAACCGTAGGAAATAGCGATAAAACCATGAGGATATTTATTTAACCAAGTGGATAAATGTCATGCAAAGCAAATTTGCAGAAACATCGAGTAATTTACCCAGACACATAAACTAGAGCTTACACTAATGGCGTGGAATTATACTACCCAGTCACAGAATTGAGGCATAACATAAGCAAAGTGCAGAAGCGGTTTCAGTGTTCAATGCGGATACAAATTAAGTTGTCGGGGATTTTCTCAGGACCCGTCGGTTCATGCCATGGGTTTGTTTGTCACTGACAAACGACTGCTACTATATTCCGTGTTTTTTGCCTTAAGGTCAGTATCTCACATTTTTGGAATTTATGCCCTGCAATGCATCAAAATCTCTCTATTTGGCAAGTAACGATTCCCACAAAATGCATTCTGATTTGCCCAATATCAAGATGCAATAAGAAAATATTCAGCATGTATGCTTCATACTTTTTGCGTTTTTTTCAAATAATTCATGGGAGTTTTGGGCGTTGAGATCCTTTAAAGTGGGATTGTTGAGTGGCTGCCTCGTTTACAAAAATTCTCATAATGTCGGAAAATTATATTTTTTCCTTAGAACTATTTCCAATTAAACCAATAGTATCTAAGAGAAACTGTGCGCCTCATTTAAACCATGCGGCTTTGTTTACTACACAGGTAATGGCAGTCACGCGAAGCTATTTCAAATGGAATTAAGCATTGGCTGAAATATACTTTTTTTGCTAATTAAATAGCTTCATTAGAATTCTTTGCAGTCCCAAGAAAGTGACTAGGCGTGTAAAAATGAACTTTCAAGCATTTCGGAAAACAGAGCGCAATACACGCCAATCAAGCTCGCGCAGCCAACTACCTCGCCAAGGTCACAGACACCCAAGACACGGCAGGTAAGGTTAAAAATCCCTCATGTAACATGTGTTATGTCATTCCCCGTAGCTCATTGTTTAACTACACTGACTTCTGTTCAATTCGTACCTCTGCCGTCATTGTATGCGTTTGGTGTTTGACATTTACCGTTTATCGTTTCAAAATTCCTTATTTAGGATAATAAAACGTAATTTGCTTACAATACGGATCTTCTGTGTTGTTCTCTACCCGGCGTGTCTGTCCGCAAGGCTATTTTGTACAAATTTGTCTGCTGAGGGGAGAACTGAACAGTGTTCTACCGGAAGTCAATATAGTAAAACAAAGACCAACGGAGAGTAACATGACAATTGTTACACCTCATTTATAGAAGAAAATGTGCCATCGTGGAGTTGAATCAGCTGTCAAGTATGACTTCCTTCCATTTCTGAAATTCGACCTGGTTATTTTCTCCAAATCACCCCATATTTCGGTTCGCCCTCGCTCTGACTCAATATTAAATGCTCACCACTTACTAGGTATGGCCTACTCGACAGTGAACTTTCATTTTGTTGTAAAACACTCTGCAATGTCCAATTTCATTTATAGCCGTCGCAGTATACAAAAATATGCGAATCCCAGTAACATCTGACATTGCTCACAGCTTCAAGAATAAAAGGAGTTTTCCGAGGTGGAGAAGCGGAGTTCGCAACTTCAGATAACCGGTTTCAATAAGCTTGCCCATTTATCCGCCTTTACAAGGTTTTTTATGTAAAAACAGGCGGGTAAATCTACACTGCGTCTGCATTCGTTTAAATTTTCTTTAAGTTTCATTCTTTTGACAGCACCCGAGAACCTAATTCGACTAATTCCTTGGGGCTTGGTCTTACTTAGCAGATTACACTTTGTCGTTTGAATAAAATTGCCACTTAAAAAACCAACTCACTCGCTTTGTTAATTTAACTAATTAATGCAAAATTTACACCACAACGACCACAGTAATCTCACTGAAAGTTATACGAATTTAATGCACTGTCGGTAGACTACCGCGATTCGGTCCAAATCAAATTACGCTGCTGGCCGTCATCAGCGCGATGTTTTGGCAAATTATATTTTAGTCAGTATGGACAATCTGCTGTCTTAATAATGCCGGTTCTTCGTCTAAGTGCTGCCTAGTTTTTTTAAGTGGATTTGCAAAAGCGAAACATGACCTTTTAATTTACTGGTTTCGACAGTACCCCTTCAGTGAAGGTGGACTTTATGTTAAGGATAGCATTTGGGAACACAGATTGACTATTATTCCGGGGAAAATACATGGGGTTTATTAAAGAATATGCTGTTGGCTTAGTACTTGATTGTATTTGACTGCATCTCTTCGATTTCTCATTTTATGGATTACCACCGACATACTTAAGTAAACCAAACGCCGGTAAAGAATTGCCATGAGCACATCGTAGATTATGCTGACGTCGGTCTAGGAATACTTCGGACATTGCAGGGGTGCAAATCTGCAATCCGACTTAGAGGTGTCCAACGCCCTACTGCTGGACTCAGAGTTGCGGATTTGGTACTCTTCTGGACTTGTGCAGAGGCATTTCTTAATGTTGTTTAAAGTTGAGTGGTCTTAAGTTATTTGTCAAACCACTTGAAGTTCCCTCTCTGGTGATAGCACGTCAAACTACCACAAATCCTACGTTGGTTTGAGCCTGTCTTGCCTAATTTACCCAGGGAAACTTCGAAATCGGCAAATCAATTCGGATAAGGAAGATCTGCCGACGGCCGGGAGGCAAAACTGACGTCTTTTACTCCTTCGCACCGTTCATCTGGCAATCCAGGGGACACGCAACTGATGCCTAGAGAGAATTACGGATTCAAGTTAGAGGATAGATTCAACCGCTGTATTTTGCATATCTGATCGCACCCAATTACCTAAGGGTACGCTCACACAACGAAAGGATTATTCTAGGCTATATCCCAATTGAACTTAAAATTTAAATCAGTTTTTTCCGAAAATCATGTTAAAAATGCGTTTTGCCGGCTACACTGGGCAACAGCGACAGTGTCCAGGCAAAGAAGTCTAGGTGATCGAGGCAGCCGGTGTAAATTTACTAGATCATTTTTCATTTCTGTGCTTCCATCTGCAGAACCACGGGAAGAATCACATGACAATTTTTGCCATATTCTAATAAATCTTTATTGCTTGAATTCCTTAGAAAAATCGCTGCGTTTTTGTTAATTTTTGTCCATCAGAACTAATTAATCAAATTAGACTTGCAGACAAATTGGTACAAACAACCAAGGTGTTGGAAAACGGATCTTTGTAATTGTGAGTGCAACGACGCCTTCCGTGGAACTTTCACCTATAATTGTGGAGCTACAGTTCTTCTCCTTAAAATCAAACAGGAAAATCTGAAGCAAAACCAGTCATCTATTAGTTTGCAATTTCGATAATTATTGGAGTGATGTAGAATTCTTATTGCCTGATAAATTCTTTACTCTCTGGCAAGGAAGAATTTTGCGATTATTGACGTTGGAATTGTACAACTGAATGATGCAGTAATAATAGTAGGAGGCGTCCCACAGGGATGACGAAGGTGCATGCACTCATCTTTTCTCATTTAGCTGGTGAATCCTTATTCCTCTCCATAAATAATTAAAGCGTTCAACACCATTTATCTTTTACAGTTATTAAGCCCCCAGATTTAGCAACGGTGGTGACGGCAACAATGGAGAATAAATTTGTTCTCGACGTAGTTTAATGCATTAAATTACTGAAAACCTTGATATTTGCCTTGATACATTCTGCAAGTTAGTTTTTTTAAGTAACTGTCCAAAGACTAATCTCAGTGGTTAAATCTTTAGTCAATGAAACTGGGAGATTAGCGGTGAATTTTATTTAATATGTGCTGTTATTTTTGTTCAAACCAAGTGAGGACAAATCAATCTCCCTTAATAAACTGCGGATACATTTTTTGGGTGCATTTGCGAATTTGTGGTTCCCCATTTGACACAAAAGGCAACTAAACTATCGACATGGCTGGACGTTGGTTGTTTCCTCCTCAAAGCTCAGACCAGTATGCTTGTCGCGGAGGAAATCGGCCGTGATCTAGACGTGTTCAACAACCTTTCCCACAAAGGTAAATATAATCAGATAATTTTGGATATGAAAAATCGGTAATATTTCCTTAGCTCTTCCATCTTAACTGGATTTTTCAACTTTGACACCTGCCTTTAATAAATATCTTACTCGTTTATTTGGCAAACAGGTAATTGTTTTAGGTAAGCTTGAGTTACGATGCAACGTGTTCGAACTGAGCCAGTAGGAGGATCAAAGCAATACTGATTTCGTCCCCAACACGACGCCAAAGCAGCAGGACGTGCACCTAATTAGGGTAACGATGTATTCATGATCGCCATGATTGGTTACATGAATGCGCCAATCATTGACAGGCGGAGCCGCAAGACGCACTGGTTGGCTGTCTTCAGTCTCATCGCATGTCACCCTTTATTCGAGCAGACAGTGTTGTGCGTGGGATAAACTTCAAAATTCTTTGTAATGGCCTCTCGACGGTAACACGACCCTGGAATGGTGGCTCGGCTGACGCTCCTCCCCTTCTTGCTAATGCTTCCCATATGTGTCAATCAAGTCCACTCAGTAAAGGGATGCGTCACGTTTGTGACAGGTGACGACTATACTGAAAAAGCAAGCATTTGTGATAGATTCGATACGCGTTTTACGCGTATCCCATCGACCCTACCGAAGGAAGTTGTACGACTAACAATCAATCACCAAATCATTCATGTTCTCGACAGAAGGCAATTTCAGCATCTACCAAACTTAACCTACCTGAATTTAGATTCCAACAAGTTGTCAGTAATTAAACGTGATGCCTTTCTTCTCGTTCCTACTCTTCGAGAGCTCAGTGTCCGGTTCAATCACCTCACACTATCTGTGGAATCCTTCCATCCCGATGCCCTGACTAGTGTCAATGCCCTAGAAGTGTTAAATCTCATGCGAAACCCCATTGGAAGGGTGCCTGCACACTACTTCTATCCCATGCGGAAGTCCCTACGTTCACTGGTGTTGGCTGGTGCTAACTCGGATTTTCACATATCAACAGAAGCCTTGGAGGGCCTTTTTGCATTGGAACTATTAGATCTTTCTTACAACAACCTCGAATCGATGCCAAGTAGCTTTAACGGGCTTTTCACTACAATGCAACTGAAACAGCTTTACCTGTTTGGTAATCCCTGGCGTTGTGACTGCGCGCTGCGGTGGCTACGCGAGTGGGCCGACAAGCACAATACAACACAGCTTTTCATCGATCCACGGCAGGTCGATGTGAATGGCTACGTCAATGATCCTCTGTTACAAATGGAACCAGCGCCATTGGAGAACGCTGCGTTCCCCAAGTGTGCATCACCGCCACGCCTGGCAGGACGCCCATTATTTCCCATCCCCAGTGTACAAGCAAATCCAATTCACCCCTTCGAGATGGCTTGCCCTCCACACCCAAAGCAGAGCCTATTTACAGTTCACGGAAAGGTTGGTGAAAATCTCACTCTAACGTGTGACTTTGAAGCCTCCTCCGTCGATGAGGTGCTTTGGTACAAAAATGGAAATCCCCTCCCAGCATCATCGAGGATTCGAGTGCGACAGGTCCATCACGGTCAGGTCTCCGTTGAATTACTTTTCTACAAAATGCGTGAATCTGACATTGGTACTTACATCTGTCTAGCAAAAAATGATTTTGGAAAGGCTAATATAACAATCTTACTAACTCGCCTAGATTCTAAATGGGTGCGTGGAGCGTATAGTGACTCAGACTTTATCGGATGGCTTGACTACTTCAATTCGAACGTTGTTCTCAAATATACCAGCATTGCGGCAGTCGTCCTTGTGCTGATCTTAATATCTGTTGGAACTATAGTGTATTTTTCATGTCGGAGAAATCCAAAGAACGTTGTCAAGGCCCTAACAACCACTTCTCATTCAAAGACATCCTTCACTGAATTGGCTCCCTTGAATGGAATCCACCCTGTAGCTCCAGACAACTCGATAGCCTGTCGACGTACGCAGCCACCCAGATATTCCCCGTCGCCTGATATGACCTTGACACAACACCACCAATCATATGTCCTCTCCTTTCAAGATAGTCACCCGCTTTATTCAATGGCAGAACACGGAACTATGGATCTTTCTGGTAGCTGTCCGGTTCATGGAATGCCAAAAACCTCTTCCTCATTTATTGTAAATGGAAAGACTTTTGACTCAGGAAGTCCAAGGTTTAATACCCTTGACAAAAAAACAGCTGGTTACAGGGACACTGAGCCTATGTCGAGTTCACAAATGCCCGAGGTGATGACAACATCTACAGCATATTCCCCTTTAGTGTTGGTTAAAGAGACAACCTCACCGAATTCGGCAGATTATGTGCTCTGCCCTAAGCACGGCAATGTGCTAGCATCGTTGAGTTCGTCTACTAATGACTCAAGCCATG